TTCTCCGCTGAACACTTCTTTCGATGTTCTCTTGAAATTGTACTGCAAAGATGAGAAACACATATGATTGATTGGAGTGCTAGCAAAGTGAACAGTGAGGTATTCGAATGATGAATTAATCCGTTCACAATCCATCCACTCACATATTCATGTAGTGAGCGTTACACATTTGAAAAACTCATTAGTTTTGTCATTTATGTTGGGATTAAAGTAGCTGAAAGTGATGTGCATCAGCTTGAATAGGATGCTAATTTGGTATGTAGCCTCGTTCTTTCTTCATTGGCTTAATCGTACTTAAAGGACGTTCGTTCACAAATCTCATTTCATCGGTTCAGTGCCATTCAAAATGCTGTCGTCCTATTTCGTACTTACAATATGGAACGCAAATGAATCCCATCCATATAAATAGATCTTTTGCGAAATCGATTGTGGTGAACGAGAAATTTTTTTTTCAAAATGGTGCCTATTCAGTCATTCAACTTCGCACATAATCCATTTCATGTGTGTCTCCTGGAAACCTATCACAGAAATATACGGTGATTTGGTAGGCTTTGTTCGCTTCATTTGCCAACCTGTTGTGTTACCAACAGGGTGAGTGTAACAGAAACTAAGTGATAACTAAATTCAGAACAGGACAATAAAAAAGGAAGAACATAATAAACTTGAATGTCACGAATACGGAGAAATGAGGCACTGTGATGGTACGAAAAATGGAACCGAACCCTGAGAGAATTATTGCGAGGAAAGCTTGAGAAACGACTATCATTGAGTGCTGAGTGGAATGGGACGAAAGCAGTGGTCGTAAATGTGAACTGACCTTCAGCAATTGGAAAGATGACGTTTTCGTTGCTGATATCCTCAGATTTCGTATCCTTTTGCTCCGACGTTGTCACACTCTCCTCATCTTCGTTGTGTTCGTCTGCAATATTCCTCAACGATTACTGACCATTTGAAACTGTTGATTTTCCATCATATCAGAATGCTACTAGCAAATCAATTTGGTTTGATCTAAATTCTTGGCAGTGGATCTGATTGTGAGTACACAAGCAAAAGGCATATCTATCAGGCATCTTCAATTTGATCGACTGCTCACAAAGAGATGTAGCATCTAATTGATAAGAAATTAATAATTTGAAAGTAAAGAACTGAAAGTGACCATTCAAATTCGATAGAAGTGGGGGTGCAATTGCATTTCTCCTCTGTATTGTTGCAATCTCCATTACTGCTGCATGCCGACGAACTTGCAATCGTACCTTTAATCAATGCATTTTATAACCTTTCGATCCCACCGTTTCANCAACAGTCAACTTAAACCAATTTTTTGGAAAACTGATGTCAGGCTGCTTTTTTCACGAATTTGCGTTATGCAATGTTACACAACATTACAAACAGTTTGATGAACAAACATTTGGAATAGCATGAGCACACGATAGTGTTTAATGGGCCTTAATAGCAACAACAGATCAGGTTTGATTTATTCTTGGTCTCGGAACATATCAAGTTCTAACGAATGTTTCGTCTAGAGAAACTCGACCAACCTGTTCCACGGGTAACACTCTCCTTCGCTTCCGCGGCAACTTCTCTCGTGCTTGTGTATGTGAATAGAACATCGCAAAATTGCTAACAATAACAGGCACTGGTAGTGCAATTGTTAGAACACCCATAACAGCACAAAGACTGCCAACCAATCGACCTAACGCTGTGTGCGGGGTCATATCCCCGTAGCCAACCTGAATAAAGCTTATGCATTTGGTTTTCGTGCCACAGCGTCTTACAATATATTTCACATAAAAAACATAACTCATAGAACATTCATCACATGAGGAATCATGCGACAAGAACGAGTATCAAGCTGAAATACACATGCGAACTTCCTTCGGTGAATGTTTGAGCTAAATACTTCATCTCAAAGAATCACGAGAAAAATCAATTACCATGCGCGTTTTGCAACAATCAAAAACATACCGTTGTCATGGTACAGATTGCCCACCACAAGCCAAGAGGTATGCTTAAGAATTGGTTATCTGGGTTCGATTCCATTTTTTCCGCATAATAAACAAGTGCCGCAAATATGACAATACCAAGAATAAGAAAAAACACCTGCAAATAAACTTCTCTTATTGAATTCTATCGTCGTGCGTGTGTTATTTTGTACTCTGTTCAACTGTCCAATAAATCAACACAGATCAATGGATATGTGATCGCAGATTCAATTGACGAGATGCACCAAATCAATTATGGTTTCATAGAAATCATCAGTTGTAATTTCGATAGCTGCAAGGCAATTCAGTAAGTGCTAACTGCGAACGGAAACAAACCAGTAAAATGAGCTCTTTAGCTGAGGCGCGAAACGTATGAATAAGTATTTGAAGGCCACGATGATGTTGAGTGAGTTTGAATAACCGTAAAATACGAATCATCGAGAGGAACTCGACTACATCCTTTGGTGCGTCTTCATCTAATAAACGCACCAAAACGGCATCCGCATAGAAACTTAATGTTGCTATCTGAAATCTCGTCCAAGTTCAGTATCGCAGTGGTGCCTTAGAGCAGCCACCAATCTGTTTTCCTAATAAATTCAGAAGGAAATATGCCGACCAAAGGAGAATTCTTGTGAAGGGACTGAAAAAGTTCATGAAATATCACGAGGAAAAAATCAAGTCACAATTTAGACGGTATTCTCGATGTATGACTCAATCAAAAGTGTTTTCTATGAACGGTAAACCACTGCATCAATTTCTATGAAAGGTCACTTCGAACTTGAAAGGTTCGAACACAGTTATCAAATTCATCATCACATTTCTTATCAGTTATCAGTTATCAAATTCACCATCATACTTCTACACGCGTTCCTTTGCAACGTTGTGTCATCCATAATATAAATGCTTTAATGCTCTGTCGATTCGTGAGATGCAATTCAAATTTTCCTCCTTTACTAGTACGTATCACTTGTATTCTTCTGCCGACGCACGGTGACAGGAAGCATTCGAAGTTAATACTTATATTTCCAACCCCCATGGCAAACTGCTCATCCTACTATCAAACTGTTAGGAAATCGAGAAAATTGTCATCATTTTTCATAGGCCCCTGAGGAATTGCAAAATCATTTTTCATACGAAACCTTTCAACACTGCCAACAGCGAGCGAATGTAATTTCAGAAACGAGATAAGAATTTCTTTTATTGTGAACAGAAGAATAAAAACGAACGGCAAACAGTTTCCAGAGTTAGTGCCCTAACTAAGAGTCAAAATGCACAGTGTCTCTCTATTCTCTTTATTCGATTTGCTTTTAGCATCAGACAAAATGCATGATGTTTGTTTGCAGTTTCGAGCGATAAATGACATCAACGTGCAGCATGATTGTGAGAATTTGTTTTGCATATCGATCGTAAATCAAATTGCGAAAATGCACGAATCGATTAATGCAGTATATGTAATTCGAAACTGAACATTTAATGTGATTTGATATTGAACTGGAAGCATTCCCTTCGAATTCTCGACTCAATGCGACATTCATTTTACATTCAAATTGAATTCGATATAAATTATCCAAAAGAATTACCACAACTATCGTCAGATCCAAGCAATGCAACGAACAGATGTGGTGTACATTTCTAGTTTATTGAATGAATGAATTTTCAAATTATTCTTTCCCTTCCGACCATATTTCAATATCTTAAAAAACTCGAATGCGTCAGCCACGTTAGCATTCGTGAACAGCTACAACTAAACTGCTATCTCCACGTCAGTCTCAACCAAATTAGGCAGTATAGTTCCCAACTTCTTTCGGAGATAACAGAAATTGGAGTTTTCGATTGCTAAACGATTTTCAGCCCGCAAGTTGAAAAGTTTGAAATCGAAAAAGAAGAAAGCTCGAAATTACCAAATCGATATTGTTGATTGGTGACTTGAAGAATCGCGTTTTACAAGGACAAAAACAAAATCGAACGAGTATTTCAAATGTGAACCATATATTGCACAGGAATTCGATCTGAAATCCTCTTATATGCCAATCGATCTTTATGCTATATTTGTATAATTTATATCAGCAGTCATTAGACTGCTTGAAGCCGTTGTCTGTGGAATGCAACAGACTAAGTTTAGAACTGCTCCAACCACAAAAGAGAATGCTTTGCTTGTGGTATCAAGAGCATCAGTGCTATGTTACTGCATTAAACATTACTACGAGGTTATGAACAGTGAGCAGACTTCGGGTTGGATCTGTCAGCAGCAGACTTCAGGTCAAACTGCCGCGCATTGATTTATTTAACTTTCGTCGATTCGAAAAGCAAACGAGCGGTGAACAGTTTGGATGGAAAGTAGCTGTTAGCGAATGGAAAACTGATTGCTACCTGACTGAAAACTTGATGAGGTTCGGTTGCAACTCGTTGTATGCCAATGTGCTCGTCGGAAGAAGAGTTGCGCAGCGACAACACAGCGATGCGGAAGCTTGGATGGGTTTTCATACAAAACGACAGAATACTTATCACAATGAAACAAACTGAGACTGCGGCTATCACCTGAACATCTCTGATAGTTTATTCCGCACTTTTACAAGTGACTTGTGAAACATTTCATAGCAGTGACTGCCTGTTGCAACAGATTACTTCAAAATTTGTACTCAACACTTATTTGAAGTTACCGAAACACATCACAAAAATCAAGCAGTTATTCGGCACTCAATATGAACCGTGCATGTTGATCTGGTTGACGATCATACAAGCACAGACGAAGTAAACTGACAACGACTCAGTGCAANTGACATGTGCAGATGATAGCGTGATTGTCCATCAAAAATCAAAGCAAAACAAGATTGAGCATGGCAAGCTGGAAAATTTGATTAGGTAAAATTTCAAGCGGACCAGGTCAAGAAAGTTTTAAAATGAGATGAATCGAAACAACAAAAAATAACTGGCCCACCTTTGCCGCTTGGGAAGAATAAGGCTCATCGAAGAGAGCCCAAACCCTGGGCTTATATTTCATCCACAGTGAAACGCGACCCTCATAAAATTGTTCCTCCCAACCGAATTTTTTCATTAGTTCTTGTTCTCTCAATTCCGGATCCTCATCTTTACAATTATCGATATCCAATTTATCGAGTACCGCGAGGGTCTCTTGTGTGTCCCTAAAGCGTGCGCATCTTATGAGTCAGTTGTTTCATTTCACATCATTAATCCTGCATTAATTAATCGCAAACAATGCATCATTAATTGTAAGGCAACTTTTCACAGCATAATGATTATTCCCAGATGAGTGTTTGTGTCACATTATGAAACGAGATAAGCGAATCATTTTCGAACTCATGAGAATGAGAAAAACAGCAATTAAACAATCGTATATTTGATAATGATCCCTGTCAGTTCATTGAATACAAAATGATCACTTGGCAACGGTAATATCCCAATCATTATTATNATTATTATTATGGATGCTGATAATAAGCAAAGATACGATACGTCAACTGTACCAATCAACAACAATAAAAACCTATGCTGCGTATAAGTCATCCAACAACACGGTTCCACTTGGTTAGCATCTAATCCCCAATACTCCAGCTCTTCCTCGAACAATGGACCGCAGACATCGGTTGGATAGTGCAGTTTTCCGGTTCTATAATAATTCAGCACCTGCAATCATTAGCGCAGTTGACGTGAATCTATCGTTGACTAGATCCGCCAGCCTACCGGACTCGACTTTCGTTTTCAACAATTAAATGAAAAACCGTTTGTTTCTTGCATCAATAAAAGTTCATCATGACAGCACAGTGCATTCCTATTCGGAAACAGAACAAGCAATTTTTTAATGATTAATTTTAATGATGAATTTTCAGCATCATCAGATTATTATTTGAAAATCAATTCACCTGTGCAAAAACGCCTGGATGTCGATCGAAAAAATACTCGTTAAGCAGAGGATCAAAATTCGCTAACGCTGGCGTAAGGCGTGACAATCGAGTGGCAGGAATCTTTTTGAGGGTCGCTTGATATGTCTCATGCCGAATGCCACCAACGTTCAGCACAACACGATCGTCCATTCCCATTCCACCTTCAACTTCATTCTTGTCAATCGCTTAAAATTCCTTTCACTTAGGCTAATTGCAAGAAGTTAACGTGATTGCAAGTGCTATGGGACGTTTTGAACGCTGTGAAGATATTTCTCGCGCGATTAGACCAAAAGCGCTTGAGTTATATGCAATTATTGTTGTCCTTTAGAAAAGTCACTCTTGTCCAAGCATTTATAAGCGTTTTTGTGTTGGCGAGATTTTGTCATGTCTCTTTGGTTTCGACAAAAAATCTGAACTTCGTGCAAATGAGACACTTTCATTGGACANAAAAAAGCTGTAGTAAGACTGATGCGAGCTTATTCGTGCTTTTATTGTATAGCTATAACGGGAGGGAACAGTCGAATGACAAACAGAATTGCACGAAGTGAAATGGGAAAATTTTTAGATTTAGTGCTATCATTAATCACTTCAAGACATCGAATGTGTATTCTGATATTGGCTTTTTGAAGGCAGATATATGAGAGTTGAAAATTCATACAAGTCTCTGCAGAAGAAAAAAATTTGAATAATTAATCTTTGTATGAGCGAGATGCTATCATTTCAGCACCATCGAAAACGTCTGAAATATGGTATTAATTCGACGAAAACAACTTGCGCTATGCAGCACAACTGAATTGGATAAACGCAGATATCGCACAGTAAAGCAGTCTCTGAATACTAGCAAATGTTCTCGAAGGAATGCACAGATGACAATTGGTCGGTCATTCAGCAAATTCAAATGTTCTATTCCATCAGTTAATCGGGGGGGGGGGGGAAAATGCTGTTACTTTGATGAGGTTTTAATTAAGATTATAAGCTGTGCTGAAGATGTGTTGCCATCGTCAAAAATTTGAAAAGTTAGAATGCGATGAGTTCTATCAAGCGTATTAGTCAGCACAGTTGATAGGTAAAAGAGTCGAATATCATATTAGAGCAACAACGTTCGAATGGCAATTGAAGAGCACTGAAATGAGTGAGAAATCAAGTAGTTGTGAATGCACACATTATCAACCATTCAATTCTGTTGTGAATGCATCACTGATTGACTTAAGGAGTGAAGACCGATTGGCAGCATTTACGAAGAATGATGACGAAGTTGACTGCTACTCGTGTGAAATTCCTTGAATTCATTCACAAACTTAAGTGCATAAGTTGGTGAATGTAAGGTGCAACCCACTCAATACTGTAACCCCGTGTAAAGCTAGCAAGATTACGCTCTTTTATGACACTCAGCAAACGCTTTTTGAGCACAGAAAAAAATGCAACGAAAATCCATGGTCACTATTGAATGAACTGAATTCAGGAAGTTTCAATTGGTTCATGAGAATTTTGAACAAAAATATTTCAGCACATCTAGAAAGGAAGTGCAATCAGTGATCAGCAATTGATGTTACTACCGTTTTTTCACTGCCGTTTCACGGGATTCACAATCGGAACTTGTTATTTCTTCATTCTGCTAAGGTAGTCTAAGTTTGTTCTGATTCAACGACAATATTTCGAATTTATTCACCACTCACATATGCTGTAAGAAGTGACTGTCAGGAAATCCTGCTCATCTATGTCCTAGGGTGCATTCGAAGAATGTGATAAACATTGAATATGTCTTAGTTATCATTTCGATAAGCTCTACAGCATGCTGTCGTCGTGCATCGATTCAAGCCATAATCGCTCATGAACTATTGTTCAAGTAAAGATTCCGATTGGCATAACAGCACATTTATCGGTGTATATTGCGACTATCGAACGATTCATGTTATATATTATCATTATATCCTGCGAGCAATTGGCGTTGCGTTGCCTTGATGTGATTCTATTTTTGCACAACCACATACATGCATGACCTGCCGTCCCGAAATCTACTGAAATGAATTCTCGTTGTTTTCCTGAGCAAAACGCAGAATTTTTGATGGATCGAATAGAAGCATGGGTAGAAGCATCGCGGTTTGATTTATATCAGTTGTCATTCTTGGTTTAGGAAGCTATAATTTCGATCATAAATCAGCAGATCTTGTTGATTCGTTTGCTGTTTTTTTGGTGGCGCTTCGGAAATAACGTATGAGGCAATAACTGATGAGTGAAATGAACGAATTAATTCTCGTTTCATGGTTCTGATAATCGCTTTCATTAATCACTGAAATAATGCCTTTATTATCGGAGACAGTGGACTCAGAGGTTTTGTTCGCAGAGGAACAACCTATTTATTGAGTCATTTGAAGAGATATCTGTAAGAAAGCAACACCTTACAACAAATACACATTTGAAAGTGTGCGATAGATGTATGCTGAAGGTAGAGTGCGATAAATGAGAAAATAAACGCGGAATAAATTACAAACAACAAAAGCGTATTAGCTCGGAATGAGTGAAAATATCAATGTGGACTAATTTGGAAATTTTTATCATCAAATGATGATGAATACGTTGCGATTATTACATGGGAGCATTTAGAGTGAATGGTGAATGGTGCGCATAAGACAGTGGTCTGAAATTTTATAATTATTATAGCAAATGGCATTCAGTAGAATCGTATTTTGCTTCCTGCTCAATGCGAATGACATTTGGTAATTTGTGCTGCCAAAAAATGTGCTAATTCGATACGTATACAGCGGTCGGTATTGCTTTCAAAATGTGAGAAAGTCGAGTCAAAAGAATTAATGTAAAGAGCGCAGAATGGACAATAGCACTGAACTGAACTCGATTGGAGTCGTTCTTAGAGCGCACTGAACAACAACTCACGACTGCACTCACTACTCGTCTTTTCAGAAACGCCATTTCTTTAGATGGATAAAATTTTGGCACACAATTTATGGCTGACTTATTGAAAACGTCTCGTCCAAGGTGCTGATGGTTTTCGTAGGCTATTGATTCGGATGCAAATTGTGTACAAACATTCACGTGACAACCAATAGCTATCTCATCGAAGATAGCACTTCTCAAGAATGCAAGTCACTTTATCCAGCACAAATTTCCTCGTCCGACTGGCCAGTGATCTTGACCGACTGACAACAATACCCTGCTAAATGAACTCAGCTGGGAGCTTGAAGAAACTGCGTTGTTATCACAAACTGCCATGTTTACTTATGCAGAATGGCTGTGAAAAAGAATGATAAATAATACTAATGATGCTTGGATATAATATGATATAAATAAGTTTGTTTGTGTAAACATTTCGATAATGTCATTAGAGCGAATTGTCCGAAAAGGAAACACCCAACGGCAAAAATCCTCCTTGAGATAGTGTAATATATCTTCTCCTCAAAAATAATTTTTATTCAGTGCATTAATGTAATCACATAATTATTACTCGAATTGAATTCAGCTTAAATGATTTATGAGATCAGCATCAATACTGCCAACGCAAGCGAAAATAATGTTATCCTAATGCTCATTCACAAATGAGCATCAAATTCGACTGATCAAATTCAGTTTGAATGTTTAACATTTTGGACAGGTAAACTTATAGTTAGTACTAATAATTTGATAATGATATGAATAAAATTTTACTTACAAATTCAACAGTATTAATAATGCATAAAATAGTAATATTAACGACGATGATAATAGCAATAATAATAACAATAATAGCAATAATAATAATAATAATAATAATAATAATAATAATAATAATAATAATAACCATAATAATAACAATAATAATCATAAATAATAATGATAATGACGCTAACAGTGGCTCTAAAATGACTGGTGTGCATCAATCATTTTTGGT